TGGCGGGGGGGGGGGGGGGCCTGCCGATCAGCCCCCCCATAGGCAGAATGGGGAATGAATAAAAATGGTGAAATATTAGTCCCTTCATATTTGTCAGGGTCTCTGGAACTAACAAATATAAAGGGATAAATATTTAACAAATCAGTGATGTCTTACGAATATCACAATCCTTCTTTTTATTTGTGCCCATGTCTAGCTGATGCCAGTATGGGTCCCCTTACCAGGAGAGAGGTAATTATTAATTAACATATGGGAGTAGATCTTCTTGCCCCTAGTGCTCTAGTTACAAATGTGTGCTTGACAGATTCCAATTTTGTGATATTTGAAAAAGCCCAAACTGGAGCTCTGTAGAGCATCTGGGGAAGGAGTTTCTCTTTATACAGTTGTATTAATGGTGCCACTATTTTTCAGGTTCTGTAGATAGGTCTGGGAAATTTCCTTCAGAATGGACTGTACAAATATACTGTGGCATCAAGCAGTCTTCATGAACTTATTTAGGTTCTACTTCATCAGCATAATTAAGTTAAACTAGTTAAGAAACATAGATCAAATTGTTGAGCCTTGGAGAGTTTTGCACTCTCTCTAGCTCATTTACTCAAGTCATTTAGACACATTTGTTCTCTAAGTACTTTACTGTATGTTCATGTTTTTGTGATTGAAAGGACAGTAATGGCTTTTTGAAATTGCTCCATTCTAACCATTATCATGTTTCTAACATAGTTATCTCATAATTTAGAAAGGGATTTTTGGTTGTTGATTCTGTTTGAACTGTAGATTTTATACACAGTCCACAACTGGATGTGTTTTTTGTGGATATTTTCTGAGTGGCCTTAGTACTGTGCATATTTATAACAGAATATCTACTGTATCTTACAGTAATAAACTAAACAGATCATTTTGATGTAAGGATGGTGCAATTCCACTCATAAAGTAAACAGCTTTTGATGAAATGTCATCTGAGAATAAGATTTTGCTTACCTTTCCTTTGTCATTTACAAAACACCTTAGTTTCTTTCACCAAACAGCACAATGTGGACATTTTGCATTAAATTATGTACACTCTGTATTTGAGGATTTGACCTTTCAGATTTTCAGTGATTTTTAAACAGCATGGACTAGGTAACAGGACAACATGAAGAAAATATTCTAACAGCCAATCGATAATCAAACAAGCTGCCAAGAGCAGATGCAGAATTTCCGTCTGTAGTAAACAAAGCTTTTAAAAATTGAATTTTCACTCACGTATCTTGGAATAATTAAACTGATCTTGTGTTATCAATACAGTGGTGCCTCACTAGAAAGTTACCACGCATGACAGCTTTTTCGCTAGACATTGACTTTTTGCGATCGCTATAGCGATTTGCAAAACAGTGATTCCTATGGGGGAATTTTGCTGGACAGTGTTTGGTCCCTGCTTCGCAAACCGATTTTCGCTAGACAACAATTTTGACAGCTTCCTCCGCGCTCGCAAAATGGGTGTTTTCAGGACCTTAGCTTCGCAAGACAGCTCTTTAAACAGCTGATCGGCAGTTCGCAAAGCGGCTTTCCAATGGCCAATCTTCACTAGACAACGACAATTCCTCCCCATTGGAACGCATTAAACAGGTTTCAATGCATTCCAGTAGGGAAATGCTTTTCGCTAGACAATGATTTTGCTAAACAACGATTTCAGTGGAACAGATTATCATCGTCTAACGAGGCACCACTGTATAAGACAGAAGTTAGCTTCCTCACTGGCACTTAAATCTCTAATAAAAGTCCAGAATGTGGTATATAATATAAAAGGATGATATATAGTATAAAATGTGGTCTATTCTTTTAAGGCATAAATATTAGATAAATGTGGTGGTTTTTAAAATTAAACTTCTCTTACTTTCCCCTCCCCAACTTGCTTTTCATTGCAGCAACAAGACCTTCACTACATGGTTGAAAATTTCTGGGGTTCTCAGTCAGCTCTTAGCGCCTGGGATGATCTCTATGATCTGGTCATGGTCAGGTGGAATAAGCATCAGGAGTGGTCTCCCTGGAACTGTATTCTCCTCAGAAAGGATGAAGCTGAGGTTCATCTCAAACTGAAAGATCTTGAAAAGGTATACCTTTTTGCTGAAATGATGTTCTTCCCTTTAATGTTAGAATTCAAAACATGTTCTATGTTATGTTAAGTTGCACCATAGCAAACCATTGAAATAGAACATATTCTTGTATAGATAGAATGTCTCTGTTCAGATGGACTTCTGCTTTTTCTCCAAATATTTGGGCTGTTTTATTTCCAAGCCGCATTATAAGGGAAACTGGGAGATAAGGAGAATGTCATCTCAGTATCTAATGTGTACATTTTTAACAGGTGTTACATGTCTTATTTTCATTTATGTCCCACTGCTCCTTGCCTTAGTTACTTTTAACAGATTCTCAACTGTATTGTTCTTCTGGCAGTTGCTTTTCAAAGGTTGTTTGAGGCCACTGTTCACCCAAAAGCTGCACCTCTAATTCAGTGGCCTATGGGAAAGTCTTATTTTTTCATAAAAAGGTACATTGACAACGCAGTCCTCTGCAAATTAGAAGTCAATTACACTGTGTCCAACTGTATATTAAACCTGGAACCAAAAGTAATCATTTCTAGTATTTTGTAAACCTCATTCTGCAGTAGCTCGTTTTGAGTGGTTGTGCAATTCTCTTAGCATACAAGGAGCTGAGGGGTTTGCCTTGGCATAAAAAGAAGTTTAGGATTTCATTGGTGTGCAGGGTCTGAGAGTGTAAATATGTGCATTTCATCAACAGAATCTTAATTAACATCATATTGTTGCTTTGTATATTAACTCTGGTTCTTTTCTCTATTTCAGGCTTATGAAAAGGTGTTTATTCATAGGATAAAACACAAGCATATCCTTGCAAGGAACTATTTTTCTCAGTTTCCAGAGCTAGTAGCAGCTTTGCATAAAGACGACAAGCAGACCAATACAGATGATCTTTTGGTAACAAAGGCTTTAACACCTGGTCCGTCAAATCAACCCTTTCAGAAGAGTGTCCACTCATCTGCTACTTGAAGAAACAATCTATCTTTGATTGTTTGGCTTTTCATTTTGAAAATTAAACCTATTTGGCATGCAACCTTTATTTAAAAATTATTTTTATTCATATTTTCTTCATTTTGCTGGTCCAAAGATGCAACCTATTACTTGGGAACATCTTCTTAAGTTATGGTTTATAGGAGAACCCTGCTTAGTCCTCACTGAATGAATCGCTGATACATGTGTGGCAGATTATACCTAGTAGTGCATATTGGGGTGAAGCATCAACGCCCAGACTCCATTTCTGTAAATCTGAGGCTGGCTAGCTGGCTGAAAATCACAGAAATGCATTTGCCACTCTTTGTTTAAAACATGGAATGTTTAGCTTAAAAGTCAGGGCAGGGCTTCTGTGCTGCAAGGTTTTAAAGAGAGCCACTGTGTATTGCAGACAGTAAACATCACTGTGTCGAATGTCAATAACCTTCGATTTGGAGAGATGATGTATGTACTGACCATAAAGCTGAGTTTTATTGCCAGAGTATACTCCGCACCATTTTTTTTGTTTCCATTTTTGCTCCCATTCATATGTTTGCCGAGCGTAGGACAGGCAAATTTGTTCTATCTCACAGCAAAGCGTACGTTCTCTCAAGTCCTAACACTTGTCTTGAAACAAGAAGCAGTGCTCTCCAGGCCTTCAGAATCTGATTATACATGAGGAAAGGAGCATTCTAAGCCTCGCCCACTTCAACTCCTGTTTTGTCCCTTGTGTGTAAAGGGCAACTTTCTGAAGAGGAGAGCTTTCTTTCTTCGTAGAGGCCCCTCACACCATTTTGAGCCCTGTATTTCCAGGATTCCGCATCATGTGGGAAAAGAGATATAATTAGCCATTTTGAGCCCTGTGCTGCCCTATTTGACTGTTTTTGAGTCAGTCAAAACTGGCATACAGAAGGAGAGGGTGGCAGAATGGAGAGGAACGCCTGAGTCTGAGTGCACAACGACCAAATTGGCTGTACATTTGTGTCCTTCCAGCAGCCATTACCAACAGGCAGGTTCCTATTTGCGCAGCGGCAAACATTGGTGCCCTGGATCAAATCCCATTTACTCAACCCTAGTTAGGGCTGTGTGTTGGACGTCCCCATGGAGAAACGTAATCAAAAAGCTGATATGTAAAGAAAGAAGAAATACAGAGCAAACAAGTCCAGTCCTAACAAGTCCCCCCATTCCTAACAAGCTCTCCCTATTTCTAACAAGCTCCCACTCTAACAAGCTCCCCATACGTAGATTCCAATGCCTTAATAGTACTAATAATTTTAAGTTCAAGTGAAAAATGCTCTGTATTTCTAATGTCATAAAGAGGAGGGGCAAGATCTGTACTTGATCATCCCACAGTGCAGGTTTTCTTGCCCTTTAACAATGGGCTCAAGTTAAAGGAAGCCAGATATCGGTTGAATATCAGGAAAAATGTTTGTAACTGTTAGAGCAATACGACAGTGTAACCAGTTACCTTGAGAATTGGAGAGTGCTCCAGCACTGGAGGCTTTCTAGAGAAATGTAGATAATCACCTGGCAGATATGCTTTGATTGTATTCCTGCATTGAATAGGGAGTTGGACTTGATGGCCTTGTAGGCCCCTTCCAACTTCACTTTTCTATGATTTCTGTAGGCACTTGTGGATGGCTGTAGAACTGCTGCCTACACCCACTGCAGCAACTTCTACTGAGAGGAGTGGGAGAGAAAAAAAGTTAAAATTGCTGTTATGAGTCCACCCCCCAAAAAAACCCAAAATCTGTCACTCAGATGCCTCATTCAATTTTGATACTATAAGAAACCAGCAGGCAGCAGTATAGGGTGTAAGCAACTTCTACTGAGAGGAGTGGGAGAGAGAAAAAGTTAAAATTGCTGTTATGAGTCCCCCCCCCCCAAAAAACCCCAAAATCTGTCACTCAGACGCCTTGTTCAATTTTGACACTATAAGAAACCAGCAGGCAGAAGTATAGGGTGTTTGTGTTTCTGGCAAGGAGGTGGTAGAGTGGCCTGTGGTTCAAGGTGGAACAGATAGTGAATTTCAGACGTGTTTAATGACCTCTTTGTGCAATCCAGCCAGGGCAAGGGGACAAAAAAGATGGCGAAGAAGGGATTGTTCTTTCAAAGATCCAGTGTGCCAGAGAAGGACAAGGATGGCATCAGCACTCAGACTGACACTGTCAGCTTGGGCAGCAACAGTGCTGCTGTTTTTGTGCCTGGAAAGAGTTTGATGAAGAGCCCCAGACATTGCCTTCCTTATCATACCATGCAGCTCCATCCTATTCAAGGAACGTTCCAGCATTCTTTCCTGTGCAAAGTAGCCTTGTGGTTAGTGAGAACTCCCCTTCATGTACATACACATCTGACACAGGGAAGGAGGAGAGTGAGGGGACTCGGGTGGGCCCCAGTTCAGAAGTATGTGACACTGAAACCACTCCCACACCCCTCCACTTACTAGAACTAGTAGTGATGACAAGTTAGCAGTCCCTGGTAGGAAACATGCAGTCAAAAACTGGAGCTCCCAAGCAGTCAATCATCTGAAAGCATTTTCAACAGTGTGCTTGCATGGCCGAGTGCATCCACTGCAAGGAGGAACTCAAGAATTGGTGGGACTTGGGCCACCTCTCTAAGAGTAGCCTGCCTAGACTCAGCACAAGGCATTGCTGTTGGAAAATGAAGTGGGTATTGTAGGGGTAAATGGTTTCTTTATTGTGAAGGGTAAAAATCATCAGAGGAGGGAGGCTGAGCCACCAGCCTGGAGAAGCAGGGAAGTAGACAGAATATATAGCAAACAGCAAGATATGGGAGGTGGTAAATACCAGATCCACATCACAAGAATAAGTTCCTGACTACCATGGAGGAGCTTGGATGGGGTGCAGGAAAAGGCCTTCTGCAATTACTTGTCACCTAGGGGAGATAATAGTCCTGGATGACTGGCCATTCTCTGTCTACAACACTGGTTTCCATAGGTTTGTGGCAGACTAGTACCCTGTTACCAATTGCAGTCCCAAATTACCCTTAGCTGCAGGGAGGTGCCAGATTTATACTGGGGTGTGAAGCAATTGGTACAGTAGCAGTTGTCCAGGGTATACGTGATACATGCATTTTACAAGTGATATCTGGAGCAACCAGGATGTAAAATGTGCCTATCCCTGAGAAGACACTGGTAGGAAGTGCATAGGGCAACACACAAGGGCAGGATCCAGGTGTTCACCGTTGAATGTGGCTGTGATGGAGGGCAGCCAACACAGCTCACAGCATTCAACAGGCTCCAAGGGACACGGTGCAGCCATGAAGTCTAACTGTAGAAAGGCCAAGGTCTGTTTGTCACAGACAATTGAGCAAAGATGGTGGCAGCACTGCAGGTTGGGAGGGTGAAAATCATGCAGTGTATGAACCACACTCTCAACCTAGTAGTTTGGGGTGCTTTGCAGGATATAGAAAACACATGCATACCTTATACAAAGGAGGGAGCCAGAAAGGTGGCAGGGCATTTTCTCCACAGGGTCCAGGGCAAGAAAAAATTGGGATTGCCCCTGTATTGCCTAATCAAGGCTGTATCATTTCGATGGAACGCCACTTTCTACCTGTTGGAAAGAGTACTGGAGCAGTGATCTATGTCCTCCGAAGCTTTGAAAGTGCAGCATGGATCCTTTATCAGGTTATCCTAACGTTCTAGGGCTTGGTTGGCGTGAGGGAGGGCATAAGGAGGAGACAGCCTAGGGGGTTCCATAGATGAAGAACAACATTTTTTTCAGCTTGGCCAGAAAGGTAAAGGAGGGAGGCAGAGGAGTACATTCTAGCAACCTTCTTGGGCCCCTAAATTAAACGGCAAGAAATGGATATTAAGAAGCGGCAAAGTGGGACAAGGTCAGCCCACTTTCCATGACATGTAGCAGCAGCAGCTAGTAAAGAAGGTCCAGCTAGCAACGAGGGGTCTCACAGAACAGGAAGAAACTCGCAATGTTCATAGCACCTGAAACAGCAATATCAGCAGTGGTATTCTACAGTACAGGTTCCCTCACCTTTGCAACAATAGGGACTCTGTCTTGACCAGCATGGCAAGGGCCTATCTTCCAGAGACACCACTCCAGAGGAAGGACATGACAGAGGCAGAAGGAGAAGTGCACGTGCAGGAGCCCTGCAAGCCAAATGAGGCTCATCCCTTGTCTTACTGGGCTGAGACGGAGTCCGTCTGGAGAGGTCTTGCCAAAGTGGCAATGGGACTGCTGTCTTGCCCACCACCGAGGGTATTCTCTCACACAGTGGGCATTGTCAGTCCTCTTCACTCATGCCTGGAACCTGGATCTATAGAAAAATTGTACTTGATCAGTTTCTTCAGACATTCCTCACAGTTTGCAAATTCTGTGTACCTAAAAAATATCCCATGAACACTTCTCCCCATCCCTGGCAGGAAAAATAAAACAATAAAACAATAAAGAATATATAGCAAATAAACAATTTGCTCCCCTTTCATGGCACCTCAAAGTTGGTGCTTAAAGGCAGTCCTTCCACTCTGCCTAATAGTAGGGCCAGCCGTGATGAGCTATAAATCTTTCTGTTAAGTGACAGATATAGGAAATTCACTAGAATATCCTGCAACTTAACTCTACTGAATATAGTGACAAGTGGGTGATCTCAAAGCAAATGCTGCTGCCACCTAAACATGCATATGGACTGGCATCCTTTTTGCTGCTGTTGCTGTCACAAAATACATGAAGGAAGCATTTTAGTAAATTTATAATTAGTTTTTAGTTAACAGCAGAAATCTGCTGAGAGGTAAATACATCCAGTACTAATTATGCCGCTAGGAGATTCTTAGATATTTTATTTTTATGGTAATAGTAACAATTCTCTGGAAAAACACAATTTATGTATTCTATGCTTTATTTGTGTTTTTGGATATTAGTCACTGACTGTAGTAACGTTCACCTATCTGTTTATGAGTAGGATAATGATCATGAAACATGCACCTTTCACAGAACTCTTTTCCTTGTCCTCAGAGTTATTCCAGTGTTCACATCCAGACTAGATGTCAGGTGTTTTTGTCCTTGTTGTCACAAAACACCCCCAACCCTCGTTGTCATAAAATATACC